CCCTCCCTCCCTCCCTCTCTCTCTCTCTCTCTCTCTCTCTCTCTCATAGATCCCTGAGCCTTGAGGGGAGAGGTTTGATAGACATCTCAATTTATGACTGAGTACTCCGAAGTCTCTCACTCTATGCGCGTTATGTGATGACCTCATTTTAACTTAATTGCCTCTGAAGTCTCTGGGGCTGGGAGTTAGCTCAGGGGTAGAGCATTTGCCTAACAAGTTCAAAGCAAATGGGTTCAATCACCAATACTGCCAAAAAAGAAGGTAGAGCAGGGGGCTCTGCGTGTGTCTTCAGAGTCAGTCACATTCTGAAGTTCTAGGATTTGACTTGAACTTGGGTAAGGGCTCAGCCCATTAACATATTATAGAAATGTAAATATTCTTGTAGTATCTTCAGCTGATAAAAGCTTGATTTTTAAAGTATTGCTAATTAAGTTTACATTACTCAGTATTATAAAATTCCACCAAATGGAATTGTGTTTTGTAACTTTAGGATTGTTTTTAAGGAATTAGTAGTAAAAAGATTCCCCTGAGTATTACCGTGTCGTGCAGCTGGCCTCGCCTCAGCTCCTTTTGCTGTAGTCTCCCAAGTGCTGGGTCGCAGGTGTGTTCTAACACACTTGGCTAAAAACTGCTTTTTAAAACATCAGAAAATCATTTTGTTACAGCATGTTAGCATGGTTTTCTTCCCTGGCTTGATCCAAAAACAAAACAATAAGAGAGGGTGGGACCATTTGGAGCGTTGTCACCTCGTACACAGCCAGGCAAGTAGCCCTTCTGAGCCCCGACGTGCCGGGGTTGGAGAGTGTGTGATCTTTTGAGCTGGTCTAGTCACCTCGTAAGAAGGGGCCCCTGGGGTCATCTGCAGCTGTGCATTGTCTCTGTATTTAGATGTAGTGGCTTTAAGCACAGTGTTCCCTGTTTATCTCACATACACTGGTTTCCTTTCATTTGGCTTGGTCTGGTTTTGCTTTTTTTTTTTTTTATGTTTTTTTAGTAAAGGTCTCATATAACCCAGGCAGGCCTTGAGTCCACTAGGTATTTATGTCCAGGCTGGGTTTGAACATTTTATCCTCCTGCCTCCCACCTCCCACGAGCTTGGTGGTGTGCACCACCATGCCCAGGTATATACTGGGTTTTTAAGATAATGCACTATTTTGTGAACAGATGTCAGAATATCTATTTTGTGCATCGTCTCTGAGTTTTAAGTTGTGACCCATATTGGTTTTATACAGATTTATTTCAGGCTACACAATTGGAGCAAATTCAGTTTATCTTTCCAGTCATATCTAATTACTGATTCTAAGACCTCACTGAATAGCCTGTGAGACAGTTTTAGCCCAAGTATGAGTTACTTAAGTTCCATATCTGAGTGTGTAATAAAATGATCTCATAGTAAAATGACTGAATTTTTTTTAATTGACTTGACTTTTTAAGTGAGGTTTTTGGTTTTGAGGCTACCCTGTCAGGAACCAAGACTCATCTAAAATGTTGATTTTTTTTTCTCTACAAGTTCCTTATTACTGACTACTTTAGAAAGTAAACCTTCACTTGCACCCAGATACTCACACCCAGATACTAGACACAAACATTTTACCTGCGCTCTGCCCCACCCTGCCCTGCCCCGCCCTGCCCTGCCCTGCCCTATTACTTACATGGCTGGAGAAGCTGTTTGGGGTGTTTTCTTTTTCTGCCAGCTTGTCTGTGGAGAAAATACAGCTGTGCCTGTTGTCCCACAGGATTAGTTCAGTTCCAGAGCACAGGCTTTGTTGAGAAACAAGCAGCACCGTGAGGACCGGAATGAGCGGAGCTTGGGAGACGGGAAGGGTGAAAACAAAGTGAGCAGGCCGCAGCAGCACAGTTCCCAGGCAGCATCAGCAAGGCAGTGAAGAAGGTGCTGTGTGGGTGTGTACTAGGGGAGGGGTTGTGGCCTACATGTGCATCCCTGCTGGATACCCATAACTTCTCTGATTGTTGTCACATTTAGGCCAGGCATGGTAGATTACACCTATAAGATCAGTACTTGGGGGATTGAAGCAGAAAGAGAAATTAAAAGACCAGCTTCGGCTGCATAGCAAAACCCTGTCTCAAAAAGAAAAAAGATGCACTCAGAAGGCAGAGGCAGGTGGCTTTCTCTGAGTTCAAGACTATTCCAGGCCAGCCAAGGCTGCATAGTAAAACTGCCTCAAAAGACAGACAAAACAGGGGAGAAGGGAGGTGGGGTCAGGGGCCAGGGAAATGTGTGTTTAGTGAAGACTCACAGTCTCTTGCTGTCAGCTGGAGCAGTGGGGTGAGGAGGCTGGGACTGACTAAGTGGTAAGCCTAGCGAGCTTGTCTGGAGTCACGTGCCATAGTAGGAAGAACTGCTCTCATGCTTAGCCTTTATGTGGCCTTAGTTGTTCAGGGCATTGGAATACATGTGACATTTTTTTTGTATGTGCTTATATGTATTTTTATTAAGAAAACTGAACAGGCAGTAGCAGTGCACGCCTTTAATCCCAGCACTTGGGAGGCAGAGGCAGGTAGATCTCTGTGAGTTTGAGGCCAGCCTGGTCTGCAGTGTGAATTTTAGGACAGCAGGACTACACAGAGAGAGGAAAGAAAAGAAAAGAAAAAAAGTTTAAAGCACTGTCAGCTGGCAATGAGAACATACCCAGACAACTTGTCCACAAGTAGTTTTTCTCTCAGATTTATAGACTGTAGCATTCCTTACACAGAAGAGTCTGGGTGTAAACTGTGGGGCACACAGAGTCTTGGAGGGCTCTACTGGGAAGAGTAAGCTGGGCATCTGGTTGGAATGATCCCGTCTTTCAAAGTCACGTAATGGATGCTGTCAGTGACGAGTAACAGCTCACTCAGAAAACAGGAGTCGGCAGCCTGCAGTGTGGAGTGGTGTGCCCGAAACCTGGCAGTGATGGTTCTGTTAATGAATGTGGGTTAAGAGCAGCCTTTTCCTGAAAACCTTGAGCTGTATGATTCTGCCTGTGTGCTGGCAGAAATTGCTGGAGTTGCTTATTTAGTGGTTGGCCTGCATGCTGTTGGTCGCTTACTCTTGGCTGTGTGATAGGCCCACACTTCCTCTTCTATATTGGGAGATTCAGAGTTTAACTTTGACTTCATAAATAAATTGAAATAAATAAAGTTAAACCCCCACTTCCTTTTTTCTTCTGTTTCTCTTATTTCCTCCTTTCCAGTTTTCATACATGTATATTGAGTTCTGAGCATGTTTCCCCATCCTTCCTCCCCACCCCAGGCCCTCCTCCCTCCCTTTCCTCAGCCCACTTCTTTCCTTGTGCCTCCCTTTCCCCTTGTCAACTTCACATCTTTCAGGTTGTGGGGTGTATGTGTGTCTTTTTTTTTTAATTGTAACAATACTATTGGAAAACTATAAGCAAAAACATTTGTTTATAAGCCGGCATTTAATGTGTAAGCATACTGAGAACAATAGAGGTCGGCAGTGTTAGGCCATCCTTATAAACAGTGGAAGTGGGCACACGTTGGTGGTTTGTTTCTTTGTGGTTATCGGGGAGTAAGATCAGACATTTCCTTACCCAGATTTGGCAAGTGGAATGTTTTGGTTCTGATGATGTTCCAAGGTGCGTTGTGACGTTGTGCATGAGTCATGTTGTCTCCTGCAGACAGGCTTTTGGCAATTCAGGGAAAGTTTGTGCCTAGTGCCCTTGACAAGCTAGTCCTTGAAATAGCACTGGGCATCAGAAGAGATTTCAGTATCTCGGAAGCTAAGGCAGGAGGATCACCATTTGAGTTTAAGGCCATTCTAGGCTCTATCTTAAAAGAAAATGGAAAGAAAAATGTCAGTAGCTTGTACCCTCACTAATTATCCCTGGCTAAGGGAAGTCAGAGTCGGGTGTTGCGTGGACATACTCAGCTTCAGCCCCAGGACCGGACTACGGCTCTCGGGCTTTACCAGCTGTGGGGCTCACCACATCCTCATAGTATGGTCACATGGACGATGAATTTCTTCTTGTTTTGCAGTGTTGGACACTTTCCCACCATGCCGACAACATTTTAAATATCTGTCAGCTTTCTAAAAGTTTAACTGAAGGAAACCTCTAAGACTTCGTACCTGAGGACTAAAGTGCAGCCACCAGTTATCAGGTCAGTGTCACCTCCACTCCGCCCACAGGCATACCACTGCCAAGCTAAATCATACTGCAGTTTGATGTGTCTAAGAAGTATTACAGTGTGCATCAAGAGTACATTCAAATGTATACAGTAGCAAAGAATTGCTCAGTTTTAATATCTATGAAGAAAGGTTACTAGAACCTGTTGGTCTTGAATTACACAGCTGTGGCTTTCCCTCCTGTATACTGTTTGTATAGCATTATAAACAATAAGAGAAACGAGTTGATTTTGTTGTTGTTGTTGTTTTTTGGTTTTTCGAGATAGGGTTTCTCTGTGTAGCCCTTGCTGTCCTGGAACTCACTCTGTAGACCAGGCTGGCCTCGAACTTAGAAATCCGCCTGTCTCTGCCTCCCAAGTGCTGGGATTAAAGGCCTTTAATCCCATCACTGCCCGGCTTATGAGTTGATATTATTAAGAAAATGTTCTGGGTATTAAAGTTTGTGTGTAGAAGTGATTTTATAGATGCAGGTAAGACGTGCGTGTGTGTGTGTGTGTGTGTGTGTGTGTGTGTGTGTGTGTGTGTGTGTGT